AAAGACCCAGAAATAGGCTGAAACGGAGTAGGGCCTGCAGGCCCTCGTTTTTCAGTTTTGAGGCTGAAACGACCGGGGCCTGTAGATCCTAAGTTTTAGGCTTTTAGGCTGAATGTCCGGGACGGGTCCTACAGGGCCCGTCTGGCTACGCAGTATGCCACAGTAACTGAGCAGACAGAAAGACAGGCAGACAGGCAGACAGATAGACAGATAGACAAACATGAAGACTAATGCAAACAAGAAGCCGTTCTTCAGCTGTACTTTCGAAATTCAAAAGCCATCATAAGGGGACAATGGTCATACCTGTTCAGAGAGCGGGAGATCAGCATCAGCACCCCGCATTGCAACCCTGCTGGCAACCACATTTGCATCTGTTTCCAATATAATTCTGTTTGATATTTACACAGGAGGGGACCACAAAGGAATAAGAACGTAACCAAACAATTACAGTGCACCATCACCCTTGAGCAACTGCAGACTAGAGAAAACAGACACAGGAGTAAAAAGTATATGCATCTGTTTCCAATATAATTATGTTTGACATTTACACAGGAGGGGGCCACAAAGGAATAAGAACCTAACCAAACAATTACAGCGCACCAGCAACTGCAGACTAGAGAAAACAGACACAGGAGTAAAAAGTATATTATTCATCCCGTCTCATCACCAATCAAGACTTGTGTACCCGTGTACCCGTTAACCTATTCCTTCAAAGGGGAAAAGAAAAAGAAAAAGAAAAAGAAAAAGGAAAAAAAGAATTGACCAAGTAGGTTTCTTCCTTGCCGCCACCAACATGCCATTCACTGGGCAATGTGTGGCCAAACATTTCATACAAACCTCAATTTTTCACTTCTCAATTTATACGTGTCATCCTTGCCCACAGGCCATGCTAATCCTCTCTGTACAGTTCCAATTTTAACGGATGTCCCAAAGGACAATATGTATTGTTACTTCTGTTTTAAGAACCGGCTGCAATTCATAAACTTGACACCTTCCTATAACAAAAACCGCACCCTGCACTCCAACGACACTACCAGTTCTCAGCAGTGGAGCCAGCACCTATGCAAGTGAAAGCCAGCCCAGATAGCAAATGAGCAGCGGGGCACAGAAAGAGAGAGAGAGAGAGAGAGAGAGGGAACGACTCAGGCAGATGGACAACATGGCTGTCTTTCAATTAATCAGGACGATTAATCAGATGCACAACATGAATCTGATTTATAAGAAGTTACGAGACAGTTAAGAAATTCTTCAATTAAGAAATTCTTCCTCTACACGTAATGGCTGATTTACACCATTGCTAGAGTTGGAGGACCTGGGAGTGGAGAGAGGAAGAGAAAAATGGAGACTAAGAGAGAGAGAGAGAGAGGGAGAGAGGGAGAGAGGGGGAGAGGGGGAGAGGGGGAGAGAAGAAGAGCGGGAGAGGAGGATAGACGAGATTTGAGAAGAGAATCAAGCTAAGGTATAAGAGAGCAAGAGCTTGCTCCTTCACAAGTAATGGCTATTCGTCCACACCATTGGTAGAGTGCTTGCATCACATTTACCCGAAGGATTGCTGAGCAATTGAAAGTAAAATGTATCCTACGAAGCAACTCACCCTCCATCAACGAGCTCATCCAGGCACAGTAGAATTAGGTCCAAGTTCTCCAACACTGTCCTCTTCTCAACGACGTTGTTCCTAGATTCCGACATGACAAGCAATCACACATGCATAGTGTTCAGGCACAACATCCACAGCAAGGAGCAGTCTCTGCAAAAACCACAAACACGCCAAACTTGCTAGACAGTTAAAGGGGGGGGAATGACATTTTCTTGTACCAAATATGACTGCTGTAGATTGTCAAAAAGACTGAATTTTCTCTGCACCCAATATCAGCACAATACTTACAAGTACTTGGGAGGCACAAGTTGTCATCAAATAATACTTCTTTTCAATTAAAGAAGAATGAAGCTTTGGTGGGGGGGGGGGGGGGGGGGGGGGAGAGAGAGAGAGAGAGAGAGAGAACTATGCTGTCAAAGTCCACAGTAAAACACAGATAAGCCCCACAGGAAGCTGCATGAGTCTGGAAGGAGCAACATCATATCAACAACAAGGCTATGGTTCGAACCCAGGGTTTCCTTACCTTAGGAGCAACCCCACAGCATCGAAGAACGCCTGTAGGACTGTGGAAAGGATGAGTTCATTTTCATCCTCGCCACCTGTGACATAGAATAGCAGATCTGAGACGAATTTGTACACAATGATGTAGCCATCAAACATGCCAATCTCGGCTGCACAGCAAACATAAACAACAGCCATCAAAGGGTGTTGAAGTCAGAGGATAGGCATCAACGGGTGACCAGGTTAAAAGCTTGGCATCAACGGGTGACCAGGTCAAAAGCTTGGCATCAACGGGTGTTGAATGGGTGCTTAAGTGAGAAGCTAGGAAGCGCGGCAAATACAGATAATCCGGCCCAATTATCTGGGCGGAGGTTAACAAAAAACAAAAACATGCAAAAAAAAACGTTCACACGAACGCACACCAAACACAAAACACACCATTTCTTTATTCCATGACAAGGAGGCAGGGGGGTTCAAAGGGTGCACAGGTCGCATACACAGGGTTTAAAGGGTGGAGTTTATCACCACAATTATCGCATAGTCGTGATTGACGTGATTATGACGAAGTGATGAAATAGTGATGATGATGATCATGCGGCTGTGGTGGTAATCCCCACCATTATCATCATCATTTATGTATTTCTTGCACGCAAAGCGCGAATGTACATTGCATACGACGCCCGTAGGTTAAACACCCGTACCCACACAATTCCATACAATGCCGTAAACCCCAGTCCATGTCAACTCCATTGTCCGAGGTGGGAGAGATGAGGTGCAGCCTCCCAGCACTGTGCCCACTTCTCAAAGAGACGGGGCTGCCGAGCGTCCCATCTCATACACCCCCCCCCCACCACCACCGCCACACACATACCAACCGATCACTCTACAGATCTATACAGAGATCTGTGTTGATAGATCTATCTATCTATACATCTAGCATCTACAGTCGCATAAATTTATCTATGCACCTATGCACAGGGTAGCCTGGCCGACCGTCGGCACCCCTGGAGCTGTAGGCGGCCGACCTGCCTTCGGTAGGCACTGTCGGCGCAGACCGATAGGTGACCGGTAGGCACCCCGCAGTTGGAAAAAAAAAATTGGTGCGGGTCCTACCGGGCCCGTCGTGCGTCGTCGGCCTCACCGACCGACTTTCAGGAGAGGCTGGGCCCCGGAAAGCTTTGTAGGCTCCACAAAAGTGAGAGCAGAGAAGGCACTTCACACCATTTTGCTGCTCTCAATGCAGAGCGTCCGTGTCTAGCCCTGCGTTGATTCCCCTCTTTCCTTCCTGTTCTCAAACCCCCAAAACACCCCCTCTTTACTCAACCACATGAACAGTCTCTCCTACGCACAATTCAAACAATTCAAAACATCACAGTGAAATGTAGATGTATATCTACCCCCCCCCCCCCCCCCCGGCGCAGCCCCCTCTATGTGAACGACATCTTGCAGGTCCTATTTCCTCACACATCATACCTAGCACTTGAGGGTGCAGATACAGAAACCTCTATGAGGACGACTGCCCAGGCTAACAGATAAGGAAACCCGTGGCCGTCGGATCGTCAATCGAACAAACTGACTGAAGAAGGGGAAGCCCGCTTTTTTCAGTTCCTGTTGCACTGATGCTCCGACGGCTAAACGTTTCTTAATCTGTCTAAATGTCGGCTGGCGTTAGTCTACGCATTCAGGAGGCGATACCCCTGAGATCGCTAAAATGGTCGACTTTACTCACACCAACCCTGCAATCCTTACAGACTGTCGGTCCAAACCCCTGACAAACATGCAACAGTGCGAGTGTGTGTCTGTGTGTGTGTCGGACCGGTGTGTGTGTGTATTGTCATGTTTGCTATACAGAACTCCACAAGAAAAGAACCACTGTAACGGACTGTTTCTTCGGACTTTCACCCACTCGTACGTTGTCATGTTTGCTACACATGCCTGTGCCAGACTGTTTCGTCGGACTTCACCAACTCATCACGAGGTTGAACCTGGACAGAAAGTCTGGTCAACGACAGACCCAGATCAAGGGCACTGATAGCACGCCCAGATCGAAGGCAATACTACAGAGATGCAATCTCCTCATGCAGATGATGATGCGAAGACCTCCTGGTCGGACGTGTTTTTTTTTTCCCCTTTCATGCTGCTTTTTCAACTCTGTTTTTCTATTCTCGCTCATAAAGTTCGTCCCATTTCCCCAGCACAATACAGTACGTAATCATCATAAGATATCGGAGGGACGTACTGCAAGAACATTAATCGAATGGTTTTCCTATGTTCATTCTGAAAACAAAAACACAAAAATCAAGAGCATCGCAAATGGATCCGTTCACTTTAACCTGCACTATGCCTTCTATTCTGTCTGCCCACGAACGGATGAGATGCCAGATGTCAGTCAACAGAGAGCGTCTAAGTACAGTTGAAAAGAAAGGAGAGTACACAACAGGCAGAGATACCCGAACATCCCAAAGAAGAAACAACCTCCCCGTCTCTCATGAAAACCATGATAGGGGAGGAAAATGATTAACTTGCGCTCCAACGCACATACAGGGATAGCGCAAATTGGGTTGGGAATGAAAAACCATACGCCCAAAGTTTAGTTGCGTTGGATCTCGTCTGTAAAGATAAAGGTAGGACACAAATGGTACCACACGCAACACCAGAAAGTGACAGTATGCAAAATAATTCCACCCGGAACTGACAAGGAACACCCTCCAGACATCAACCGGGGTGAAAGCTAACTTACAAATCACAACTAATTAGTAATCACCGCCCAGAAGACGGGGCATTCGTGAGAAGATCAATAGAGCCCTTAAACAAAGTGGAAGAGAGCATAGCAGGCCGAGACAGCGAGAGCATGGGAGAGAAAGGAGTGACACCACGTGTTGATTGCATCCAAGCATGTTTCGAGATGTCGGCGTCAAGCACATATTTGTGCTCTAATGGCGAGGCTCGTCAGAGCTTCCATGGTTTAGGGAGCCCTTTATACATTGCATATCGCTACAATATTATTGGAAGATTGCATGATTTTGAAAATTGGAAGTCCAAAGATCCAATATTGAAAGGAAAGGGAAGTGGAGAAGGACAGCGGCAGACGAGTGGGAAGGAGAGGGAGAGGCAAGAGGAAGGGGAGACGGAAGGGAAGAGGGAAAGGAAGAGGGATGGGGAGAAAGACGAAAATAGGGAAGGGAGGAGACGTAAGGAGAAAAGACAGAAAAAGTGGAAATGGGAGAGGGTAGGCGAGGAGAGAGAAGGAAATAGTTAAGCGGAGGGGAGAAGGAGAGCGAGAGGGTGAGCGAGAGGGTAAGCGAGAGGGTGAGCGAGAGGGAAGGGAAGAGGAAAGGGGAGAGGGAGGGGGAGAGGAAAAAGGGGAGGGAAGGGGGAGGGAAGGGGAGATGGGACCAGATTCGAAGACGGACGGAGAGAGCGGGGAGACAAGAGGAATACGGCCATGGAGGGGGAGATCACATATGGCGACCGGGAGGCAGCGAGGATGGAAGGGAGGGTGATTTCACAGATGGAGGTGGGGGACAGGGGTACTCATACCCTCAGCACGGGCGTTTGTCCGATGAGTTTTGGTGAAAACTGATTTCTCGAATGCAAGCTTTGACTGCTGCGTTGCCCATTCATCGCAATAATACTTGACCGCAACTCGTTTACCCTCTGAATCCAGCAAGAGAATGTTCTTTACAAGCGGTGCCGATACCTGCTCTCTCGCACAAAGTAAGAGAAAACGAAAAAACAAATAAAAAAGAAGTGTGAGTGCATATTCTTTACAAGCGGTGCCGATACCTGCTCTCTCGCATACAGTAAGAGAAAACCAGAACAAATAAAAAAGAAGTGTGAGTGCATACATACATACTGTAGTACATACATAAGACTGGCCGCCCTATGTTTCCCGTTCCTGGAATATCGTTCAAGTTCAGTTCCTTTCCTCATTTATCCGGTTATCGAGATGACTACCCTTCTTCCTCCGGCCACAACGCCTTGCCAATATATTGTCACATGATATCAGAGCGCCAAAGCGAAAAAACAGAAAGAAAACAAGGAAAACAAAAAAACTTAATTCGTTTTTAATCTTCTTCCTTACAACTCCCCCTGTATCTCTGTATCTCGCCTCAAAATCGCACTAAATGCAGCTATAGAGCCCATACACTCCTCCGACCCGCAAGTCCGCGGATGTGAAAATCAAGCGCTCAAAAACGCGGTACGAATATCGCGCTTCACTGCCACATTTATGCGCTGCTTGTCTGCATTTGGCTCAAGCGAGAACGGTGATTTTCCGAATTGACGGGGTGAACAAAAAATTCACGATCGCGAAAGCGGCCTACCAAAAAGAGTGTTGGCCATAGCCACTGCTGCTACTCGATGAGGGATGGGGGAAGTAGATGCGAGGCGCAGCTACTGAAAAAATGCCCGGTCTTTGTGTTAAACACCCCCCCCGCCGCCACTCCCTGACCCCCCACAGCCGATTAGGCCGGGGGGCAACATGCATCCCCTTAATTGTGAGAAGTAGCTCTCACAATTAAGGGGATGCATGTTGCCCCCCGCCCTAATCGGCTGTGGGGGGTCAGGGAGTGGCGGCGGCGGGGGCGTTTAACACAAAGACCGAGCATTATTTTGCAAGGGTCTCCTGTATAGGCTTAGGAGTAGTGGTAAATAGATAGTGAAAGGTGAAATGAGAGACGAATATAGCATGCATAGTTTTTCAACAAACAAAAAAAAGTGGCCTACCAACCTCACAGAATATCAACTCTACTTTTCGCGCGAGGTCACGACCTTCGCGCTGCCGCCACCTCCATGTTAGCGGTCGAGACGCGCCATGTAGTGGTCGTGGTAAGAGAGATCTTTACAGCTCCCCACTACTCCGCGGAATTTTGTGTATAGACCTACAGTGAATATGTGATGCCTTTGTCCATGAACTTGTCTATGGTATGGACTACATCTTCCACTTTCCTGCCAGATCACGCCATGTTCGATCGAGTTACTTGTAGACAATTAGATACATGGTATTCGCTTGTCGCATCTCCAGATCACGCCATGTTCGATTGAGTTACTTGTAGACAATTAGATACATGGTATTCGCTTGTGGCATCTCCAATTATTCTGTGTAAGTGTTTTTCATCTGACGAACCATGCTATTTTTAAAGCACTACTATCTTTGAGTGTAGGTCCTATGTTTCTTGCAATGTCTGATGACCAAGATGTGCGCAAAATGGGACGATTAGCTTCTCTGTTATTTTTAATTATGATATGCTATGATGCTAATAGGCAGCATGAATCTTTAATTGGATTTCTTTAGGCACGCAGCAAAGTAAGTCCACATGCTTGCTGTTCATGTGAGCCATCACGTCATCACCTGCTGAGCTTGGGCTTCTACCATAACGTCATGGCCTGCCTGCATCGCCTACTGTGCGAGCCGTTGTTCACATGCTTCTGCTATAGCTCACTACCTACCGCACTACACACCCCGAAGCACCAAAGTACAGGAAAGGTGTTGCGAATGAGGGAGAGGTAGTGGGCTACTTCTTTCTAGCATTTCATTGTTTATCGTATTGGTGGTACTCAGGGAAATCGTTTCAACATGATTGATACTGTAGTTGTGCAACCACGTTGATTGCTCTAATCGTCATATATTGGATTTCTTTTGGTCAAAAAAAAAGAAATACCCACGAACTCCACGACTACCTCGATACCCTCTCACGCAATCAAAAACATTCGCTTCGTTACCACACCTCCCTTCATCCTACTCACTGGCCGTTCATCCCATCCCATGGCGATTCTCTGCTTCTTTTCCTACATCGGCATACCTTCCCTCCGACCTTCTCTCCCCTTCCATACCCTAACCTCACACCTTTCTGACTCCCCTCTTGGCTTTCATCACCAGCCTCCACCATTCCCATTACACTTTCATTTCATCTTTCACCCACCTTCACGTCCAGTACTCCCACCACCAACCCTCCCAACTCCCTCATCCATGGCGATTCTCTGCTTCTTTCCCTACATCGTCATCCCTTCCCTACAACCTTCGCTCCCTTTCCATACCCTATCCTAACCTCCCACCTCTCTCTCCCCTCCTGACGTTCATCACTATCCTCCATCATCCCAGTTCGCTTTCATTTCATCTCCACCACCCTCACGTCCAGTACTCCCACCAGCAACCCTCTCCGCCCTACTCAGTACGGCCTTCCTGTACGCCATGCCAAATTCACCTTGTCACTTCTGTTGCCGTTTCCACCGCCTTCATTACACCCACATTCCCTTCCTTTCTGATGCATCTCACGCCCCTTTTTCTCTGTCGCTCACTGCTTCAGTTCCCTCACATCACCCCTTCCCTGCCTCGTTTCAATCGTCCATCCACCCTTCGCACGATCACTCTTTTCTATAGCCTCACTCTATCTACAAACGATCTCACAATCGTTCTTTTCTATAGCCTCAGTCCATCTACAACCGAGGTCCCACAAGGCATTTAAAGACATACACGTACCGGCTTCCTCGCGCTCACCATCTTGACGACGCGGCGCTCCTTACAGTGACAGACTTAAAAAGTTCCTGCACGCTGACACCAGTCGGATCATACATATGTCAGCACCGCACCTTTCAACAGCGTTTACTTCTTTTCCAATCAACTAGAGCGAAATTAGGTCAAACAATTTCCGACAAGAGAAATCGTGTACTCGACATACATACGATTCAATTTGAACGGTCACAAAGTTTTTGATACTTTTTTCTTTTTATCCCCATCGGCACTCTCGTAGCCGCTTTTCTGCACAATCAATCCTTAAGAGCAACTGAGTAAACTGGGTATACCGATTCCTCACAGGATGAGTCACAGCAGCAGCGCTTCCGTTCCGCCATTTCTCTTCGCCTTACCTCCACATCAGGTTCTTATCGTCCACTCCTCCCCCCTCCGTTTCCTCCCATTTCAGTCAAACCGCTGTCCCCATCACTGCGATCCCCCCTCCATCTGTCCGCCTGCTATCACGCACTCACAGGTCTTCCTGCTTGCCACCAAAGAGTCAAGCTCAAAGATATATATGTTCCTCGACTCGATGTCGGATGCAAACAGACCGAGGATTCTCTTAGCGTATAGTCAGGCTACCGCTTTCCACCGAAATCCATCTGACCGCAATTACGGCCACACATGGATGAATCTGACGGTAATCGCGTCCACAGCTCTGTGGAAAAAGTCCCTAGTGTGTGAGTATACCCTCAGAGAGGTTCCAACTGTTACAAAAATGCCTCGATGATAGCCTCATCAACGCGTGAATGACTCCTGCAAAAAACCCTAGACAGGCACTTTTGTCAAGCCCGCACTACCACTCGGGTTACCCCACGGTGGAACAGCAGCAACTTCTCCATAGCATCCTACCATTGCAATCCGAGGATGCCATATCACAATCAACGAGGTCGAAAATAGGGAACGTCAGGGAGGTAATAGCGATAGCCTGAACGTTGGGAAGAAGAAGGCAGGCTGAACATCGGAAAGACAATAGTGATTACCACAACAAAACACGCGCAGCGCTGAGAGAGACAACCTACCGGGTACCGACGACCGTCCACAAGAACGGCTTCTACAGATGATCTTCTTCAAACGCCCGTCACCTTCAACTGTGGCAACGGCGTGTCAAACTGGCGACCGGCTCGTGGTGCAAGCGGCCAGGCAACTAGCTCCACCTCCCCCGAGCCTCTTATCACGACACTAGAAGCCCATCGCCCATCGCGGCTGCCCTGGCCAAAAAGACAATGGTCTCGCCCACATATTTCAGTCATTCCTCGAATACAACACATCCCCAACCGCCACCCTAAAGCTACGTTGTATACATTCACGATATTCCTCGCTTTGGCACAACATTCGCGAAATCGTTCATGACTGAAAGGCATTTTCAAACTGAAACCCTAACAGCGCCCCAGTTCTCCCTTCTTTTACAACAAAGGCCGTCCTGTCCACTTTTTGTTTTTCTTTTCACTATATTCCAAATTAACATAGGTAGCGGAGGAGGTGGAATTTCACTCTGGTTTAACTACGTGGTCCTCGTGACCAGCGCACTCGGTTAGGACTGTAAGTAGATAGAAGAGTGGCCCATTCGAACCAGGACACTCCGTCCTTTAGAGCGGCAGTGGGCTATTAGCAGAGTGTCTGTAGGACCCGGGGCCAGGTCCCACTGGCGTGTGTTGTTCATTCTCGACCGCCGATTGTGGCGCGAATACACAGATCCATGGCCCGAAATGAAGAACACCATCTAGTGGGACCTGGCCCCCGGACATGGTCCTCCGGACCACGTTAGTCCCAGACTCAGCCTACCTTAGAGCTTAGTTGTTGACTTGACGTAGACAATCGTATCTAGCCTGGAAGGTTCACTTCAGTAATGGAAGCAGTTTCAAGTTTGAATTATCTTTATGTTTATGAGTATGGTTCTACTTCTCAGCTATCACTACTTGGTCATTTGTGCAAGTAAGCAGTTTCGTTTTCAGACCCAGTTTTAGCATAAAGTGCTGTTAGCCCCCTCTTAGTCCAGTTGATGTAGCTCAGTGGTTAGAGCACGGGTTGGAAATGCGCATTGTGGCATAAGGTTGCGGGTTCAAAACTCAATTGCAGCCTTGCGCATGGACACTGGCAGGGCGTTAGATTGACGCACGGCTGGACATACACTCCCTTGGGCTGACGCATGGTAC